TGTGTGTGTGTGTGTGTGTGTGTGTGTGTGTGTGTGTGTGTGTGTGTGGCAATTGGGGCTAAATGACTTGCCTAGAGTCACACAGCTAGTGAGTATTATGTGTCTGAGGTGAGATTTGAATTCAGGTCCTCCTGACTCCAGTGCTGGTGCTCTATCCACTGCACCACCTAGTTGCCCACCCCCTTTACTTCTTAGAAGACCTAACTGTCTTCAACTTTCAGTTCAAACACTATCTTCTATATGAAGTCTTTACTGATCCCTCCTCCCCCCGCTACTAATGCCTCCTCTCTGAAACTGCCTGCATTTATATGGCATTTATTTTGGATAAGCTTTTATGTGTACATGTGATCCCAAAAAAGAATGTAAGTTTCTTGAGGGGGAAGTTTCATTGGGTTTGGCTTGATTTAGTTTTTTTCCTATACCCACTGCCTAGCACAATATCTGGTACATTATTGTTGTTCAGTCATTTCAGTAGTGTCCGACTCTTCATGACCCCATTTGTTTTTTATTTTTTGTTTTTTTTGGGCAAAGATGCTGGAGTGGTTTGCCATTTCCTTCTCCAGCTCATTTTGCAGATGAAGAAACTGAGGCAAATAGGGTAAGTGACTTGCCTAGGGTCACAGAGTTAGCAAGTATCTGAGGCCAGATTTAGCTCAAGACGACAAGTCTTCCTGGCTTCAGGCTCAGCACCTCTATCTGCCATGCCACCTAGCTGACCCACCTGGTGCATAGTAGGAGCTTGATAAATGCTTATTGGTTGGTTATTGGCTTCTTAATGAAAGTGACCTCTCAGGTTCAGTCTACTCTCTAGAAAACTGTTAGTATTGTTATCCTACAATTTAAAATCCTTTAAAATGTTTATTTCTTTCATAATAATAATTATAGCTAACATTTATATAGTGCCTACTGTGGGCAAGGTGCTTTACAAATGTTATATCATTTGATCCTCACAATAACCCTGTGAGGAACTGTTATTATTATCCCAATTTTACAGTTGAGAAAACTGAGGCAGAGGTAGTGACTTGCCCAAGGTCACACACATAATGAACGCCTGAAGGAGAATTTGAATTCAAATGTTTCTGACTCCAGTCCATTACTCTATCCACTTCACCATCTAGTTAACTCATAGCAACTCACTAAGAAAATTAAATATGTATGGAAAAGAAATGTGAAAAAGAAATTCATGTTTATGATAGAAACACACAACTTTTCCTTCAGCCCTAGTGTGCAGTGTCCTATGCAATGTCATATCTCAAGAAAACATACCTCCCTCCCTCTCTTCTCTATAAAGGTAGGAGACAGTCAGTGTGAAACATTACCTATTCTGCTCAAATCAATTGACATAATGGTTGGTCTTGATAAACTGTCTTTTGTTTTTTTCTTTTTTAATCTTCGTTGGATGTAGCTCACTCAAGGAATGGCTCACTGGGTAGGGTATGGGCTAGGAATATATTAAAAAATGAAGATGGCATAAAAACAAAAGATATCCATAAAAATGTTTTTGAAAAAGTTTTCTCTAAACAGCAACTATTGTTAGTAAGATTTTTTTAATTTTAAGTTGATTTTTAATTTTAAATTAATTTTAAAATTAAATTTTAAATAAGCCCTGAAGTCTTTTTTTTTAAATCAAACAGCAGAGGTAATCATGCTTCTTGTAGATTTTTTATGTTATTAATAAAAATTGATTTTGGTCCCTTAATTTGCTCAAGGATTTAGGGCCTTCAAGGACATCTAATTCAACATTTCACTCCATTTAGGCATCCTTTCTACAATATTCCAAGAGGCAGTCATCCTGCCTCTGTTTAGTGACAAGAAACTCACCTCATGAGGCAATCTATTTGATATTTGTCCTCTAATTGTTAGGAGATGCTTCCTTAGATTGAAAGTAAATTTACCTTCCTGTCACTTCTGCTAATTGATTATACCCTTCAGAATTACAGGGAATAAATCCAATCCCTCTTCCACCTGGTAGCCCTTCAAATATTTGAAATGATCAGTCATATTACCCTAAATATTATTTCATCCAAGCTAAATAAGCTTTTAAATGCCTTTACTCTCTAGCATTTTCTTTTTTTCCCCATCCTTCTCTTTTTCTACTGTATTAAGACTTACACAAGTTCCCTGTCCTAAAAAAAAAAAGCAACAAACCCCTGAAACTTGGAGCATTCTATAATCACTATTCCATTTCCTTCCTGCCTTTATAGTCAAATGGATAGTTAACATTCATTGTTTCTATTTGCTTAGCCCCGATGCCCTATCCCAACTGCTCTACATCTGTCTGGCACCTCCTTCTCCCAGCTCCTCACACTCAAGAATTTAGAGGAAGTATATTGAATATTAAAACAACTTTGAAAATATGAAGTTCAGTATTAAGGGTTCTTCACTTCACCTTTTTAATATCATAGATATTTTTGTCAATCTGGTGAAAATGTAAGTACCCTTTCTTAGAATAATTTTTTTAGAAATCATAGTTGTTGATTCTTGTTGCTTGAAAAAATTAATTTAATTTTTTTAAAATTTATAATTGAAAGAAATACTAAATTTCAGTTAGAGGTTAGTGAATACAAAGATGTAATTATTTTTTACCACTATAGTCATAGTTACCTTGAAATCTATCCATACACCCCTCTCATGGCTTTGATTCCTTCTTGTTTGTTAGGGATAGGGATAAGGGCTGACCCTGTGATCTCATTGACATAGAAAACTCCCAGACGAGGACACCACTTCTACCAATGCAGGTCAGCACTTTGTCTGCAACTTACAGTCTTAAAAAGTTTCCTGGAGCACTGAGAGATTAAGTGTCTCATGGACACACATCCAATCTGCATCACAGGTGGGACTGGAACTTATTATGCCCTTTTTTTCCCCTTTCAGTTGTGGTTCTTTAATTCAACAAACGGTCAAAATCTCTCAAATTTCTGTGCTAAGTTTTGCTATTTATGTGACTAGAATTGAGCCAAACTTTCTGGGATTTGAGGTTGTGTGGAATTCAATAGCAAAAGTAAGTCAGAAGTGAAGATGATTTGATAGAGTTTCCCAATCACTGCTGCTCTATGAGACATATCAGCTTTGCAGTATATAAAATTTGATAATCCCAGGAAAGAACATGCATCATTCTTAAAGGTTAAGAATATGGAAGAATTTAATGCAAAGCCCAAACTCACATTTCCCTTTCTTTCAAAATTGTTCTGTGACAGAAGAAAACTCCAAAGAATCAGCTACTGAAGTTATGAGCAAATTTAAATCTTCTGTTGTTTTCTGGGGATTCCTTATAGTCCCCGAACAATTTAAAGTTTAGAAAGCGAAATGTTCAAAGAGAAAAACTTCAGATGCTTTGGGGATAATGTCCCAAAGAGCTAATTACAACGAATTTCTGTTAATTGCCACTGAATTCAAACAGTGAGATCCCAGTATTGCTTTCAGAGAATTCATGCTGAATTTCCTACCCATCAATCAGCCAATCAACAAGCATTTATTAAGCACTTACTATCTACCTAGCACAGTCGCAAGTACTGGGATATAAAGAAAAAGGAAAAAAAAATGGTCTCTGCCCTCAAGAAGCTTACATTCTAATGGGATGACTTGCTGAAATATGTAAATTAATACATTCAGAGTGTGTTGGTAAGTGTTTAACAACTGGCTTTTCAGAAAAAAATGTACAAGCAATACCCTTTTCAACTTAATCTGCATTATTTACATTTTATTCATCACATTTTCAAGTCTAGAAATCAACAAAAGAATAAATCAAGTCCTGATGTGTAGCATTTACCAATTTTTGAGGTATCGATGCTCACACTGAAAATTTAACAGTAGTCTCTAAAACCAGTTCAAGCTTGTTCCAGAACACCCCTGCATCCATCCCCTTGTTATTTGAAGGTTGTTTCTTACATGTTTATCTGGAATATTTCTCTCAAATCTATGATCATGGTATAGAAAACATCACTGGGTTTGTTAACCCAGCATTGAATGAACAGCTTCTGTACATTAATTTAGGTATAGTTTAGTCACAGGCAAATTATCCTAAATATATAGGCTATATGCAAGTACACTGTATATAACATCCATATTAGAGTTGCATATAGGGGAATTTGTAGACTTCCACCAATGAACGCAATCTGGAGAGATGCATAAACCTCCTTACCCATAACCCCTGGAATGTCTTATTTCAGCCTACTCACTGGCTAGATAGTCTGGGCATTTCTGTCATGTCCCACTCACTGATACTTCTGCACTCCTCATAACCCCTTGCAGGTAGGTCAATCTTAACCATCAATACCAAATCTGCGTCCAAGAATGGCCCAGACTAAATGGTGCTGTCTCTACTCTCTAATAAGTCAGGATTTGTAATAGCTTCTGCTTGGTAACAACTTGGATATGGGGGGTGAGAAACAGTGAGGAATCCAGGATGACTCCTAGGTTGTGCGTCTGAAGGACTGGGGGGATGTTATTGCTGGGGGAGGGGGGGTTTAGGATGAAAGATAATGATTTCTGTTTTAAATATATTGATTTTTAGATGTCAACTGGATATCCAATTTGAGATGTCTTAAAAGTAGCTAGAGATGTGAGACTGGAGGTCAGCTGAGTTTGGGGCAGGATAAGTAGATCTGAGAATCATCAATATAGG